ACTACTACTACTACTACTACTGCTGCTGCTGCTGCTGCTGCTGCTGCTGCTGCTACTACTGTTATTACTACTACTACTACGACCGCGACTACTACTACTACTACTACTACTACTACTACGACTACGACTACTACTACTACTACTACTTCTACTACTACGACTGCTACTACTTTACTGCGACAACTATCACTATTACGACTACTACGATCACGACGACTACTACTACCACTACGATTGCTACTACTACTACTACTGCTACTACTACTATTATTAGTACTACGACTACTATTATTAGTACTACGACTACTCACACTCTCTCATCATCAACCTCATCAGCATAATCGATGATGCTCTCTCACATGCTTAGTCACTCACATACTCATCATCATCATCACTCGCACTCTCCCACACGCTCATGAACATCATCACCATCATCATCGGCATCGGCATCATCCTCATTCAAACATCATCATCGCCACCACCACTCACAATCAATCATCATCCTCTTCACCACTCATCTTCACCACCACTCATCATCCATCCTCCTCATCATCGTTGAGTAAATTGTGAGGAAGTCTCAGGCGGGAGCCCCCTCCCTATGGGGCCCGCAGATCATGTTGGTAATCCGAGCGGGTCATCGGAATCCTGTAACTGTCGTCACTTTTGAGCTCCCCAGACCTGAAAATGGAGGAAGTCTCAGGCGGGAGCCTCGTCTGTGAGTGAATTGGAGGAAGTCTCAGGCGGGAGCTCCCTCCCTATGGGGCCCGCAGATCATGTTGGTAATCCGAGCGGGTCATCGGAACCCTGTAACTGTCGTCACTTTTGGGCTCCTCAAGCCTGAATTTGGAGGAAGTCTCAGGCGGGAGCCTCGTCTGTGAGTGAATTCTGAGGAAGGCTCAGGCGGGAGCCCCCTCCCTATGGGGCCCGCAGATCATGTTGGTAATCCGAGCGGGTCATCGGAACCTTGTAGCTGTCGTCACTTTTGGGCTCGTCAAGCTTGAATTTGGAGGAAGTCTCAGGCGGGAGCCTCGTCTCTGAGTAAATTGAGAGGAAGTCTCAGGCGGGAGCTCCCTCCCTATGGGGCCCGCAGATCATGTTGGTAATCCGAGCGGGTCATCGGAACCTTGTAATTGTCGTCATTTCTGGGCTCCTCAAGCCTGAATATGGAGGAAGTCTCATGCGGTTTTGTTCAGGGCAGAGGCGAAGCAGCTCGCGGCAGAGCTGGGCTTCGTGCTGCCTTCCGCCTGAGCGCGGATGCGCCTCGTTCGAAGCCCGCGGGGTTGTCCCAACGGCTTGGTCTTGCGCGCCAGCGGCTCGCGGGGTTGTCCCGACAGCCTGGCCCGCGGGGTTGTCCCAACGGTTGCGCGACGTGACCAGTAGAGAACGCGCCTGTGCTGGCCGTGGCGGCGACGGCGCCGATGAACATCGACATGCGCGCTCATGCAACAGGAAGGGGAGGAGGTGGCGGGGCGCGGAACAAACAGGGGGGCGAGGATGGGGACAACGTAAGGAGTGGAAGGGGGGCCCGCGCCAAGGCGACAGGAAATATACGCAGAAGAGACAGCCAGGACGCCTCACCAACCACGAGGACGACGGTGATGTTTTTTTCCAGATTCGCCCAGAGGGTTCTTATGTGGGGTTCTTCCGTCGGAGTAATTCATTTATTTCATTGTATTACTCCTACTGCTACTTGTTGTTTATCGCCACTATTATTACTACCGCTACTACTGTTATTACTATTACTACGTTTAGTATTACTACCACCTAGTAGCAGTACTGCTACTACCACCACCACTACTACTATCATTACTACTACTGCTACTACTACTACTAGTACTACTACTACTACTACTACTACTACTACTACTACTACCACTACTACCACTACTACTACTACTACTACTACTACTACTACTACTGCTACTACTACTACTACTACTACTACGGCGACTACGACTACTACTACTACTACTTCTACGACTATTATTGCTACTACGACTGCGACTACTACTACGACGACGACTACTACTACTACTACTGCTACTACTTCCATTGCTACGACGACGACTACTACTACTAGGAATCGTTTCTGCTTTCATTTTTATCACTACTACTACTGTTACTCCTACAGCAACCACTGCGACAACGCCTACCACAACAACGGCGATTACTTCTATTGCTACGGCAGCGACGACGACGACGACTACTACACCTACTACAACGACGACTACGGGTACTACTAGTACGGTCACTACTACTACTACTACTACTACTACTACTACTACTACTACTACTACTACGAGTACTACTGCGACTACTACTGCTACTACTACTACTGCCAGTACGACTGCCACTATTACTATTACTACCGCTACTGTTAGTAGTACTGCGACTACTACTACTACTACTACTACTACTACGACTACTACTACTACTACTACTACTACTACTACTACTACTACTACTAGTACTACTACTACTACTACGACGACGATGGCTACTACTATTCCCATAACTACTACTACTACGACGACTACTACCACTACTACTACTGCTACAACGACTACTGCTACTATTTTTTAATTGTAGTATTGCTACTACGACGACTTGGAGTATGTGTACTAGTAGTATTACTACGGCTGCTTTTCGTATTTCTTCTAGTACTACTCTGAGCACGACTACTACTGTTACTACCACTACTACTACGGCTACGACTGTTACAATTAGTATTACTACTACTACTACCACTACTACTACTACTACTACTACTACTACTACTACTACTACTAGTACTAGTACTACTACTACTACTATTACTACTACTACTACGACTACCACTACTACTACTACTACTACTACTACTACTACTACTACTACTACTACTACCACTGCTACTACTACTGCTACGACTGCTGCTACTACTACTACTTCTACTACTTCTACTATTACTGTTGCTTCTAAGCATTACTACTATTGCTATTTTTGTCTTCACGACCTATTATTACTGCTACGACTGCTACTACCAATGTACGACGACTACTACTGCTATTACTGCGATTGCTGCTACTACTGCTACTACTGCTAGGGTCACGCCTCACCTCCGTGTCTCCTCAGAATGGGTGGTTAATGGTAAGGGTTCGGGTTCGGGTTCGGGGTCGGGGACACAATAGAATTCGAATGCACTAGGCATACAATAAAGCCGAAGGCAATTGCCATACACTAGAATATGAACACAATCCGACTACTATTGAATCCGAAACCAATAG